GCACTTACTGAGCAATCACCCTGGTGACTTTCTCAAAAATTCAAGCTCATGATTTGTTCGTCACTACTCTTGAAATGCTGACTGATATCATTCGCGTGGGATACATAATATTTGACGTTGTGAACATGAGCAACCCTTCGACCAACTTCGACTCTGACCTACACCCTGCTACCCAGCCCAGTCAGGAATATTTGTATGTACGTTATTAGATCTAGAAATATGCGGCACTACTGACTTGAAAGTACTCTGAATAATTTTCAGACCAGGGTTAGAAAGTCGAGACCGCACCATGATGGATCTGGACAAACTCGATTATATGTCTGATCCCAAATTTTTGGCCTATACCATCAGCAATGACCTACCTCCCCCTTATATACTGACAGAACTTATGAAAGCGAGATCCGTACCTCTAAAGGAGCTGCATGAATTACAAGGAAGAATTCGTGTGCAGGAACTCACCCTCACTGCTCTAAAAAGAAGATACGACGATATCAACAGAGCATTATCAATTCATGAACCAATTCTCGCTCCAATCCGACGTTTACCAGACGATATGTTGGAGGAAATATTCTACCACTGCCTCCCAACAACTCGAAACCCCCGCCCATTCGTTTCCGAATCCCCTCTGCTGCTGACACTTGTTTGCAAGAGGTGGAGGTATATCGCGCTTGCTTCACCTCCACTGTGGTCTATGCTTCACCTGCCGGTCCCTTTTGACTATATTCCACCCTTAGAACGATATAACCCCTTGTTAGATCAGATGAAACCATCACCCTATCGCCGTCATCCTCGTATCTCGGAGCTTCAGGCCATCAGACACGTAGAATTGGACAAATGGCTCACTAGGTCTGGTTCCCTCCCAATGTCTATATCACTATTTGCTTCCCATGCAGTTAATTTTCCTGATTATTTCGCCTCCTCCCGATCCTTGTGCCGCCAAGACCAGACCTATGCAGAACAAACGCTCAACGTCGTCGTTCGCCATGCCAGCCGGCTCTCCAAGCTTGACATTGTTATGCCATTTGAAATGTTACAAGCGTTTGACGGAGCATTGGCCATAACGGACCACAATTGCTCCCAACTGCGTCGTCTCAGGGTGTCATCTAGACTTGCCGGTGGTTCACAGATGCAACATCTTAAACTACTATCACTTAAATCTATTCGGGAGCTTTCTCTCGACCTCTGTGCATTTTCGACCAACATCGCTCAACCAAATAAATATTCCCCTTGGTCCACCCATATTGTCGAGCTAACACTACACCTATTCTTACATCCAACCGTCGTACTCCAGATTCTTGGTCTCTGCTCCAGCCTTCAGAAGTGCAGTGTAAGTCTTTACGACAAGAACTCCCCGGGACAATACACTGGTATCTCCGAGCTCAATCCGACAGAGATATCATGCCCTACGTATGTGCAGCTCCCGGCACTCCAAACGCTGTCCCTTCAAGGCCTACTCGTGGAGATGGGAGCTGTTTGCCAGTGTCTCAACACGCCAAATCTGGCTCGCATCATGCTTTATCCACACAAACGCACTGCTCCTTGGATTCCATATTATGACGAGGATGCAACTGACGAACAGCCGTTGGAACCCGAGTTCGAAATTGATGCATACCCCCCGGGAGACGCTGAATCTCTCCTTTCATCCCTCTCAGAATTCAAAAGCATCCGGTCACTCTTCATTAATCCAGCCTACCTGACCAGTCCTGAAGCTCAAGCCATTTTCAATGCCCTTCCTCAAATTGAAATGCTTGTCTTCGATAATGAATGGACCCACCGCCCGGGAGCAAAAATGACGTCTACAAACACGGTCTCTTCAACTGTCCTCGGGGACTTCCATTACACCCTACATCCACTACTTGCGCAGGAAAGAGTGTTCAAGATGACAGGGGAGCGTGTTCCTCTTGATGAACCCCTACTCCCCAATCTCACATCATTTTCCTGGAACCAGTTCTCTACCATCATATCCAACGAATTACTGTTATCTTTCCTTAAAAGCAGGATACATCCAAAGCCTGACACCCACAATCACTCGACTAAGTCACTTACTGAGATTGATATCAAGTTGATTACCGCCTCCGATATCGACATAGAAGCAGAACTTACTCGACATATAGAGGAGGCGGGTTTGCATCTGGGCGTCGATGTCGCCTTACGTGTCGCTACCTACCCATGGGTGAAAAGGTTGCTTGAGCAGAATCGCTTTCAATACATCGCACCAAAGGTGTCTTGGTCAGCGGCGCTCAGTAAGGTGTCAGAAGATAACTTGATATTTGACGATGATTCAACATGGCCATTCGTTGACATTTGATGTTTTTGAAATCTGTTCATAGCCTTCGTATCAAGTTCGCGTTATTCAGGGAGACAACTCTACCACAGTAACTTACATAACGAAGAAAGCAATAAGGGTAATCGAGTTCGAGTTAATACCATGTTCATGTATGACAATCAAATCCCCCTTTTCAAACTTGCCTCCGACTCCGCCACCTTTCCCATAATCTTGACTTGCTCCGCCACATGCCTAAGTACGCCGATAACTTCTTTGTTTCCATGCAAGAATCCATATTCTGCATATTCAAGACCTTCTTCTTTCGCGAATTGTTTCACGAGTTTACTGGCGCGACGCAGGTTGTGGCGTGGTAGACGAGGGAATAAGTGGTGAGTAACTTGGAGGTGTAAGCCGCCATGAAGAAAGTCGATTGATTCGGGGCAGATAACGTCGGTCGTCGTTCGCAGTTGTCGATGCGGGAATGACTCAATGGAACCCAAGTCCCCAGTGGGCATGCTAAAATGGGAAAGAACAAGCTTAAAGAGGTGTTTGCGTTAGTTAACCTTTGATACAAAACGTCCAAGACAGAGCACCCTACTTACTTGAACGTGTAAAGGACTTGTTACGACATGACTGATGACAAGATAAGCCAGAGCCTTCTGCCATGTTCCACAGCCATAGAGTGCAGAACCATACCATACCCAGAAAAATATGACGCCCATAACTTCGAGTCTCCAAGCCCAGTTCCCGCCTTTGGCACGCCTCGAATCAAATGCCATCTTGTACAGCGAGGTGTAGGAAAGGCGGTAGAGGTTGAAGCGACCAAACGCCATGACAATGTAGAAGAGCTTGTGTTGGATCGATAGCAGAATTTTAGCAACTCTGTCGAGCTTGAACGTGCGCTTGTAATATGAAGAGTACAACGACTTTAGGAAGACTGGGGTTATCGCAAAAAAGGGAACATATTGGATGTCTGGGTCACTGAAGCATCATTAAGAAGATTGCACTCAAACAGCTCATATTCGTATTGAGGCACTCACTGGGAAGGATGATTTGTTACAACTTCGAATCCAACGTCGGGTTAATAATTAATCCCTCTATCTTATGAGTTGAGGAGACTTACGATGATGAACATTATGGTTCTAGAAGAAAATTCGGTCAACTGGTCAACCCAAGCGGCCGTGCTCGAACTTACCTGAACCCACCACCCAATACTCATCCCACCGATAAAATTCGCAACCAGGGTTGCCAAAATGCGGTCGACAGTCCAGTCGTGGGTGACTCCCATGTGGCCCAAATCATGAGCAGCAAAGACAAGTTGGTGCCAAAATAGACCCAGAAAAGTCGCACTGGTGAGGAACCAGCCATGTGCATATGCATAGACCGAAAGCCCGCCTAGCACCGTGTAACGGGCAATTTCAGGGCCATACCCAGCGAGATAATGTGTTTCATACAGGCCAGCGACAATGATGCGTTGATGCAGCTGTCTCCAGGCTTTTGAATGCCTTGACTGGATGGCAAGGGAAAGAGGCGAAGGGGGAAGTTCGAGAGAAGAGAGAGTTGGACCGGAACATTGAGATTGGGCTGAATGATTCTCCGTAAGAAGAATAGACGATGGAGGAAAGAACTTCGATTTCGGCGAGTCCTCAGTTGTATGAAGCACTGCCGCATCCTGGAACCATTGCATCTTGCCTTCGAGGCCGGGTCGACGGACCCAGCCAGTCGCGATGGGTGGTGTAAACGGGAGCCATACGCCGTCGTTCAACTCAACCTGTCCGATTGAGTAGCGTTGGACCAACCGGAATGTTGTGTCAGAGTGGTTTGCTTCGATTTCGTCTGAGGCGTCTCTGCCTACAAAATGCATTAGCGCAAGTGAGCCGCCTGGATGGGTGTGAAGCCATTGGTCAGGAATCAGCAAGAGTTGGTCCTTGAATATGATGAGGATTTCTCCTGCAAGGACTCGAGCACCGATCTGCTGTCTCGACCAGACTGTTATTGGGACACCCATTGAGAAAATAATTCAAAGAAATCTGCCCGGAAAAGCACATAATGCCTGATTAGCATCTCTGTTATACTGGTGGTGACAAATTTCATCAAGTTGTGTCTCCCACGTCGCAAACAAATCAGTGCTGCGGGCACTTCGTTGAATGTTTCATACTGACCCTGAGCAGAAGATGGCCTGCGTAAGCGCTTATGACTTGTCATTTGGGCATACATGGGACATCGAACTTTGTTTCAATCTTCAACATACTGACCAAGGTGCAAATGACATTGGTCCACCAAACTAGATTCAAAGCATAACAATAATATTAAAGTGAGCAGTAGCCCGAACTTGGGTATCATCCTTTATAAACCATATGTATGCTATACATCCACAGTTGAAGCGACTGCATGTCCCAAGTAAGTGATTAGAGTGGCGGGTTTATGGTGTGTGTCGAATTAAAGGCCGACGGTGATGGGTGTGCAGTTGATACTGACGAGTTGGTCTACCGTATAACCTTGAGTAAACACACATAAAAATAGATGGAAGAGAGTTACTTTGGAAGTTTTTCTCCCAGCAAACTGGTGAAGAAGCGCTGAAGGGGCAGAGCTTATTGAGCAAGGAGAACCAAAACAGGATGACAAAGAACCATACCAGTTAGCGCCGGTACCTGCACCAATGACAGTGATGGGTTGCACTGAAAGATTCGTTCCGTCTATTCTATTTGCAATTAAAGGATCGAAGCAAAATAAATGCCCGCTGGCTGGTTTGAACAACCGACCTCACCATTGCGTTGTGCGCTCGTGCCATATTGTAGTACGAGTGGCGCGCTCTACCACTGAGCTAAGCGGGCAACGATTACTGTTGTATGTTGTTCACAATCTGTATAACGAATGTAAAGATACTCCTTCGCCAGTAACATACGACCTGTCCTTCAAGTTGCCCCATACCTAACTATTCTCCGCAGCCTTTCTCTCTCTAGACCTTTCCCTTTCCTCCTGGTAGCGACTCACAAGGGCATCAAACCCAATCACTTGACCAGCCGTATATATATCGAAGGATGGCTCCCGACCATAAGTCTTCGATGCAAGGCTTATCTATATGTAACGGCAGTCAAGTCAGGATATTGGCCAATGGCCGGTCCTCGAAGCCCTTCAGACTCACCAGCACATCAGCGCTCATGCCTGTTACTGGTCCCAGGCCGGCTCTTGGGCATGTCTGAAAAGAGTGGGCCTTATACATTGCGCCTTGACCTAGCTTCGGGACTGGGAAAACTTTGTGGTGCTTCAAGAAGGTACACGAGACACAAAAGTTAAATGCGCATAACGACGATCCGATAACAATCGAAGACTCACATGATAGCCTTTCCCATCATCGTCAACCCAGCCATCCATGCCCCACGCGAGGATCGGGTTCGGCATACCTTGGGATATATCATTACCTGCACTTTTTCGGTTCTCTCGGATATCGGTATTATGCATAGGTGCATCCCCGCCAGGTGAAACCCTCCAGATGACATTTTCAGGGTTCTCGAACCATTTTTCTTGCTCTTCCCCTCCCAGAAAACGTTCAAGAGGGACACTAAACAATGCTTCAACTTCTCCTTCTCCACCTTTCAAGGTAGAAAGAACCTGGCCCGAATCTTTAGGCACCCATAACGCAACAACTGGGAGAACGATCAGAGGTCCGAATGGTTGAGGTGATAAGACACCGAGTGTAAAGAGCTTTTCCGTTGACGAAACCCCTTCGTAGGGATTCGTAGGGCCTGAAGTCGAAGATCGCGACGGACAACTACAGATATTAGGGAGCCAGTATGGCGGATGTACATTAGATGGAACCGGGAAGGGCAGTGACGCTTCTTCGTAGGCCTCCCGGTACTATGAGTGGAGGTTCGAGATTCAATGGAAATGAGGCGCCTGTCTTCACGTTTAACGACCAGCCCACTTACCGCGGTCCAGATCCAGCAGCCACCGTCACCTTCATCTGCCTTGCCTCCTGGAAAGGCCGTTTCACCTCCGTGAGAGCGAAGTCTACGATCACGAGTAGTCAGTAGAACATCCATAGAATTCGTCTTGGAGTTTTGAAACAGGACTGCAAGAATAGAGGCATGTCTTCTTAGAGGCTGCTTGGAGCTTCACAAAAAATTAGAAGATATAGAAGTCAGCGAATGGACGAAGATCAAGGTGTATACAACATGCCAGAGCAGGATCATGATGAATAACAAAGGTCTTCAGACAGGAGTGCGCTTACATCTCTTCTATCGCCTGGATTTGATCGTTTCGTGTGGCAGTAAAGGTTGCTATAAGCCTTTTGATGTGTTCTTGATTGCGCTGCTTAAGTGAAGACAGGTCGATAGTCATGTTGAAGATAGGAGAGCTGTAAAGTGATGTACGTATGCTTTATCATCATGGGAGTGAGGTATCGTTTACCAAGACTCCCGAACTACAGTTCCCGACATAACCGGAGTAAGAATTTATAAAATTTGCGTACTTGTGACACTTGTACAGTGTCAAGCATGAAGGCTACAGGAGAATCTCGTAGAGCGTCTCCTTGCACGACGTCGGACAGTGTTCACCCCAATCCCATTCCATTTCGCGATAGGCCAGTGGCGCCGACCAACACACGTTGATCGTGGATGACATCACGCGTCTAATCACGGTGGGGATGCAGTTTGTAACATTGGACCTTGCTCCACGACTCGATCGACAATCAGCTGAAATACACAGTCAACCGTGAAGGTATTGTTAAACAGCTGTCCAATACTGATCCGACTCCTTGTTTTTCTCCTCTTTCTCCGGCACCTCCTTTCCAATTTGCGAACTATAACAAGCATCCAAAACATCTGGCGTAAAATATCCGTTGCTCTAAGAAAACACCCATGGTAGCCCCGCCTAATCCTCTTTCGCCCGCTCCAGGGACAGGGTTCTCATCCGGCAAGCATAACACTGCTCTGCAGGGCCATGTCGCCTTCTTCGATGCAGATAGCGATGGGATTATTTGGCCTTCCGACACGTTAGTTGAAATTCATCTGTACAATCTACGCGAGAGTGGAACTGACCGTTGGATCTAGGTACCGAGGCTTCAGAGACATCAAGTTTGGTATCTGCTTGTCAATGTTGAGCGTCTTGATCATCCATTTCGGGTTTTCGTGAGTGTCAAATGAGACTGTGCAATGTCGAGTAATTAACTGACTACATCGCCCAGATGGATTACTCAGGACTCTTGGATCCCTGATCCGTTTTTCCGACTTAAGATTAAGAATATGCACCGCGTACGTTCGAACTTTTCTGAATGAGGTCGAGATTCAACGTCTAATTGAGCTGCAGGCAATGCATGGCTCCAGCTCAGGCTCCTACACAGTCACGGGAGAGTTTGATCAGGCACGATTCAATTCCATCTTCGATACCTATAGCTCCGAGCCACACACACACCTGACATTCTGGGAGGGAGTGAGAATGATTAGAGGGAACAGGAACCTATTTGATTTCGTGAGTCGACAATCGGTTGCCAGAAGCTTCGATGCACGGACTGAACCTGTCTATCTCAAGTTTGGATGGTTTTCCGCTTGCTTCGAATGGCTGGCAACGTGGATTTTGCTCCGTGACAAGGATCCAAAGGGTCTGAAAAGGGAAGACGTTAAAGGTGTCTTGATGGTGAGTTAACGATCTATTGTTGGAAGATGTCCTGAATGCCAACTCAGTCAATAACAGGGATACACCTTTTATCAAATCTCAGGACGAAAACCCCAATACTAATAGGCAACTTCCTGAGGATGCGAACAGAGTTGCTTAAGCTTATCTTTTCAAGTATACCTGTAACATTTAATGTACACTTTCAAGATAATATTTCCTACAAGTCCCTTTTGAAGTGCGAAGATCATACTCACATGGCTATTCGCTGTTTCATTCGTTTGATCCACTCCCGCACCGCAGGTCGACGTCGGTATCGCTTGGCATATCTGTCAATGTTTCAAATATGACAGATTCATGACGCTGTTGGATGACCTCGAGTTTGACCTGGCATTTTATCACATTGTGACATATTAACTCTGATAGATTAGGGGCATCTGTTGCGAGCTGTTGGAAGCTTCTTCGGGGGAAGATTTGGCTCAAGCAAACGTTGAACCAAGGTTTTCTTCTGCTTTCACTTCACACGCCTTCTGAGAGGCGGACACGGCACCTTTATCTTGACACGTGACTTCCGAGAAAGACGCGTCGCGCGCTTATCGTCCGTTCACCATTCTCGCTGTCAGTAGCTAGCCTGATCCAAGCATTCTGTCAGTCCACAAGTACAGTTTAATACAGCCCTGTAATATCAATGACTATCTTGACGACAGCCTACGATAACAGGGTTGAGTTTTAGGGTAGATCTGACAAGCAGAATGCTGGGGCCGCATTTCGATGCTCACATCCAGGGTGTTGGTGTTTGATGGCTGTTGCTCGTTGTCCAGATAACGCAATAGAGAAGTTTGAGATAGGTATCTATTCCGAAACATTCCGAGTGTCGTCTACTTAACAACAGTGACTGACCCTTGACATGCTCAAGGAGTGCGCACTGCGTTGTGAGGTGAGGATAGCTGGTAACTGGATACAACTTGAAGTCTAGGCTGACCGAGGCATCATACTGTGCTCAACACGGGCATGATATCTTATCGCAAAGTCAGTTCTGAGGATGCTTCCTGGTACTTGTTCTACTATCAACTTCACCTCGCGAAGATTCGGAGAGGTGAGTGAACGATTTGTTGCGAAATTGCGCCATTTCAGATGAAGCAGGCACGTCCCCACAGGAGTAGGACCTTGAGAGCGTCAGAGCGACTGAATATATGGCACAGAAGGTTCAATCATGATTACAAAAAGAACCTTAGGAAGTTCAAGGGATATACAATTCTAAGCTACGTCTGTTATTTCTGTCTAAACGTAGTCAATAGAGAATAATACTCGGTAAATTACAATGCTGGTAAAGATGTGGATGGTGGGTACCGGGATTTGGGAAACCTCGTGTGTGTGTACGCCGTGTGGTTTGACATGGTGGAACTATACATTGTTCATAAGGGAAAAATGATGCAGTGTGTTGTGAAATTCAATGAGACGTGAAATGTTGTGATGATGCTGTTATAATGGAGAGAAGCCGTCAGGTGCTCTAGACGAGGACAAAGAGTGCGGAAATTTGAAAACGCTGTCTGGCCTGCAGACTGGATGGTGGAATGAGTGGAGTTGGGTTGCGCTAGTGAACTGATCGAAACTTGGAGAACCTAACATTTTGGCAAAGTATAAGCAATGAAAATAGGACGCAATGGCACTAGATGTATTGTAACTCGCCTTAGTTTAACGATGAGAGTTCTACTCACATTACCGAAGATAACCCGTTAAAAGCTGCTAGGAACACAGTAATAGTTAATTATACGCACTTAAGAACATCTAAATCGATGCGGAACTGTGACCTCTTTGCCGACCTATCCACACCTTTGGCAGGCTGAGTATTCAGTACGCTGATCGGAGGTGGGTGTAGCATATGGTTTTCTCGCGGATGTTGAGAATCTGTCAGTGAGGGGGGCCTGGATGGGGCACCGCTCGCTGCCACCACAATGCTCGGAGGAGTGACATCGAGCGGCTCCGACGTCAGAGAAACTTTCGAACCAGAGTGCTCTATTATAGATAGCGGTGCATGTCAGTAAAGATAAGCTGGAAATTCTCCGGGGCTCTGTGTGCACCAAGGACTGAAGGAATTCGACTCACCAAGATAGATAGAGTGTTCCTCTAATGATAGCACAGTGGTGCGCCGCAGAGGAGATGAAAACTTCTGATTTTGAACGTGGATAAGCCCATTAGCTTCACACCATGACCGCCTCGAGGC